GATTTTTTTTTGCATTCCCTTATTTTATTCTCTTAAAAATACGCATTTCTTGTGCTATAGCATGGGGTCGTAGGAAGCTACACTCATAGCTGAGGCATTTTTGAGTGGGAAGAACGTAAGCAGAGATAATTTGGGCTTTTTCCAAAAGTTTGCTCAGAGACAACAACAAAAACTCTTAGAATGGTAGCCAGGGTTTGGCAGGCCCAGAAATCCAGGGCAATCTAGAATTTCTAGGATTACTATAGATCTGAAAATCAGCAACTTTGTCTGAAAAAGGTATAAAACAAATCTCATTTCTCCAAAATCCTAAGAAATTAGAATGGTTTAGATCATTGGAAATCAGAGCGTCATGAATGGATAAAGGAAGTCAGATCCCCCAGTACATACACAAATTCAAAATGCTTCCAATCTGATCTAAAAGTGGGTAAGTCAAAACTAGACAAGCTCTTGCACACATAAAGGACTCTATGATTTGTAGGTATAGCAACTTGGAGGTGGCATATCTGCTTCCAAATCAAAGATTTCTTAAAGTTTTTTTTAAATGAAATAAGAACATATGAATATAAGGAATCAAAAGACTTATATTTTGAAGAAATTTGATTTTTGTCATGAAAGCTAATTAGTACATTTTATATATTATAAAAATATTTTTCGCTTATTTTCTTGAAAACGCTATAGGCTTTTTCTTGTTGTGCAATAAAATAGCTTGTAAAAAGCAGCTCTTGTGTTTTTGTTTTCAGCCTGTTCTTCGCAACAGCACACTTTTAGTTGCATCCTGAAACGTAAAAACAATACAAATATTTTTTTAAGTAGCAGTAACATCTAGTGTGGTTTAAAATATGTTTAATTCATTTAACATTTCTAATATTTCATGGTATGGTTAATAGGGCAAAAGCAGTACTAAAAAATTAGTATTTCAAAGTTGACCATGTATTGTTAGAATCAATAATGCACTCTTTTTGTGGAACTGGGGAGAGACAATAATGGTGCTTAAATTTTGTATTTTTCACATTCAAGATGTCATTTTATTTAGTGGAACTTCATGACTTTCTTACAAATAGAAGTGTTAATTCAGAATGCAAAGTTATAAAAATCCCAGCATTTCATTTCATTAATAGTTGGTATGGTGTGAATGCACCCCACCCCCAAATTCCTACATTGAAAACCTAACACCCAATGAGATAGTATTTGCATGTGGGGCCTTTGGAAGGTGTTTAAGTCCTGAGAGTGGAACCATCAGGATGGGATTAGTGTTCTTATAAAAGAGACCCCCAGAGCTCCTGAGGCCCTTCTATCCTGTGAGGGCTCCATCAGTGACCTAGCAGTGGGCCCTCACCTCACCACGCTGGCACCGTGATCTCAGACTTCCAGCCTTCAGAACCATGAGAAATAAATTTCCAGCCTCCAGAACCATGAGAAAGCCACTTAGTCTGTGGTATTTTGTTATAGTAGCCCAAGACTAGGAGGGTGGTGTTTAAATCATTTTATGTTTTAATTGAAGGATAGATTACTGAGCGATTATTTAGTAGCAAGGGAGAAGATGTTGATTAATTTTTCTATCTGGAGAAAAAAAGTCCTAAAGAAAATGCCAAGAATAGGGGCGGTTGGGTGGCTCAGTCAGTTAAGCGACTGACTTCAGCTCGGGTCATGACCTTGAGGTTCATGGTTTTGAGCCCTGCATTGGGCTCTGTGCTGACAGCTCAGAGCCAGGAGCCTGCTTTGGATTCTGTGTCTTTCTGTCCCTCCTCTGCTCATGTTGTCTTGCT